TGTAGATATAATTTTTATAAAATATTTTTTTTAATAGTAACACACAATTTTATGTAATCATGTAAGCATTCATTTATGTCTGTACATAACAAAATCTGGGGGGGGACCTTAAACACAATAGAGAGCAGTACAAATGCACATATTAATCTAGTTAGTTGAATAGTCAAGGGTATGTTAAAAATTAAGATAATGATATCGATAATGATAGGCTACAATGTTTTACAAAAAAGTTAATTTCTCAAAAATATAAAAAAATATTCTCCCGCAATATACGCCTTGTTGCTATACCTAGCGGTTTCTATACGTTCGGTTTCTATAATGTTTGACTTACACAAATATTCAGACGTAACGGTTTCAAGACGGAGAAATATAAAAATCCCCCGGGTTTTAAATAAAGATTAGTCGCATCTAGTCCGTTCCGCGCTCCGCTAGAATTAGCGCTCCACGGAGCAAGCAAACTTCTTTACATTAAACATGATTTTACGCTCCATGTTTTTCTATTAATGGTTGACATCATAGAACTGCAAAAATTTAATTAAATAGGAATATTGAAAAAGGGAGGGGGTAACGGATACTATACGTTGGGGCAGGGTTGGGGCTGTAATCCTAGGAAGATAAATGCAAGAAATCTGTAAATTTGAAGATAGAGTATCATCTTATTCTTGTCAAATTGCAGAAACTGTTGTGGTTGATTTTAATATTCAAGGACGCTACATAAAGAAATTGCGTCTTTGGCATAAACTCTGGTTTTCTAATCAAATTCATTTTATCTTTGCAACCCAATACCGTATACATTAGATATCTTAAACTATATGAATTATATATTTGAAGCAACATTACCAACTGAACCTATGATTCCCCGAACAGAGGAATGTTAAGTTAGTTAACGTCCCTTGGGAAAGTTATAAAAAATAACCACCCGCTCTGCAATGTTTAAAAATTCGAGCATTTTCATTTTTTCATTTTTTGGGAAATTAAAAATTTTACTTTACCACAGGTTCCCTGGAACAATTGTTGATGTTGAAAGGTAGATATCTGGGTTGTTGAGGTTGAAAGGTAGATATCTGGGTTGTTGATGTTGAAAGGTAGATATCTGGGTTGTTGAGATTAAGGTAGACATCTGGGTTGTTGAGGTTAAATGGTAGATATCTGGGTTGTTGATGTTGAAAAGTAGATATCTGGGTTGTTGATGTTGAGATGTAGATATCTGGATTGTTGATTTTGAAAGGTAGATATCTGGGTTGTTGATGTTGAGATGTAGATATCTGGATTGTTGATTTTGAAAGGTAGATATCTGGGTTGTTGATGTTGAAAATTAGATATCTGGGTTGTTGATGTTGAAAGGTATATATCTGGGTTGTTGATGTTGAAAAGTAGATATCTGGGTTGTTGATGTTGAAAGGTAGATAACTGGGTTGATGATGTTGAAAAGTAGATATCTGGGTTGTTGATGTTGAAAGCTAGATATCTGGGTTGTTGATGTTGAAAGGTAGATATCTTGGATGTTGATGTTGAAAGGTAGATATCTGGATTGATATTGTTGAAAGAAAGATATCTGGGTTGTTGAGGTTAAATGGTAGATATCTGGGTTGTTGATGTTGAAAGGTAGATATCTGGGTTGATGATGTTGAAAGGTAGATATCTGGATTGTTGAGGTTAAATGGTAGATATCTGGGTTGTTGATGTTGAAAGGTAGATATCTGGGTTGTTAATGTTAAAAGGTAGACATCTGGGTTGTTGAGTTTAAATGGTAGATATCAGGGTTGTTGATGTTGAAAGGTAGATATCTGGGTTGTTGATGTTGAAAGGTAGATATCTGGGTTGTTGATGTTGAAAGGTAGATATATGGGTTGCTAATGTTAAAAGGTAGACATCTGGATTTTTGAGGTTAAATGGTAGATATCTGGGTTGTTGATGTTGAAAGGTAGATATCCGGGTAGTTGATGTTGAAAGGTAGATATCTGGGTTGTTGATGTTGAAAGGTAGAAATGTGGGTTGTTAATGTTGAAAGGTAGATATCTGGGTTCTTGATGTTGAAAAGTAGATATCTGGGTTGTTGATGTTGGAAGGTAGATATCTGGATTGTTTGTGTTGAAAGGTAGCTATCTGGGTTGTTGATGTTGAAAGGTAGATATCTGATTTTCTAATTCCTATAACTTAGCAACCGTTTTCCTAGACCTTTGATTTTTCAATCTATTAATTGATAATTCTGGTAGATCAAAGAGTCTAAGTTTGAAATATCAAAGGATTACTCCATCTGGTTGCAAAGATATAGGGGTTATAAAATGTAAGTTTGTTACAAAAACTCAATTCCTTTGCCCCTTTATTCAACATTTGTAACCCTTTTTTTTAGAATGCCACCAAAGATTTTTAATTTGCACCTGAATTTAATTTTTTATCCCCAAACGTTTTATAAATACAACTAACTTTAAAACTTAAGACCTATCTAAAAAATGCCCCTTATTTTATTTAGCTAATGCTAAAATAATTTAAAAGTTTTGCCCCAAGCAAAAAAAAACCCTTAGTTTAAAAAAATTCCCCTTTATATTCTAAAGATGCCCTTAAACAAATAAATTTGACCCCAAATAAAGATTTAAGATTTCCCAAACACAAAATTGACCAAACAAGCCTCTCAAAAATAAAACTTGCTCTAAAAATGAACATTTCAAATTTCCCCCAATTAAAAAAATTGCAAACCCAAAAAAATTTTGCCCCTAAAATATAGTTGGAATTTTTTACACACAAATTTGCCCCCAACTGAATGTACGCTCCCGAATATGAAAATTTTCCCCCAAAAAATCCTGAGTTTGTAAGGTAGTTTTTTTCATGGTTGCGTATAATACACATTTTTCTTTCCCCCCACCCTAGAATTGTTTAGGGGGGGGGGGGGGTGCCAAAAATGATTGCCCTATGCCTCCAAATGACTTAAAGTGCAGTTTGGAAGCGAGATGATAACACATAAGTTCCCCGCAACTTTTGAATTTTAAGAAATCAACAATCATTTCTAAAACTAACTTCGTGCATTTAAAAGTACCAAGCTTAATAAAAATTTGAGTTTTTGACACTCCTTTAAGCATATTCCGAAATTGTTGCACTGAGTTGAACAAAAATGTCTTACAGGACCAAACCAAAAAAATCGTTAAAAATCCCCATTTTATAAATAGATATGATTATATTTTATTTCAATTAATTCTTTTATTATATATATATGAAGTAGTTATCTCTGATTGTCTGTGTGTATGTCCGATCATAACTCATGAACCTCATGACCGATTTGCCTACAATTTTGATCGTGAAACTCGGGAGAACCACATTATTGTTTTTAGCTTGGTTAAACAATTCTAAAATTAAGTGGGTTAGCTCTGGTAGGAAAAAATCCAGACAATGCTGGGGTTCCAAGCTAGTATACATATCTGCATTTTCAGATTTCAATTAGACTCTTTAAAATGAAATTGAAAGTGAGTTTCAAGATTCCTTTTACTTTTTAAATAGATTTATTGTTACAGATTATGTATAGACAACTTTATATTAAATTTTACCTTACAATCCTGAATAAAAAGCTAAACAATTTGGATATTATCATCAAGCATGGTGTAACTCTATGTAAGTTATATCCTTATATCATAATGTCCTTGCATTCTTATATCTTTGTATCCTTGTATCCTTGTATCCTTGCATTCTTATATCCTTGTATCCTTGTATCGTTGTATCCTTATATCCTTATCCTTATATTCTTATATCCATAAATACTTTTATATCCTTACATCTTTTAATACTTATTTCCTTATAGTATCTTTGTATCCTTGTATCCTTGTATCCTTGTATCCTTGTATCCTTGTATCCTTGTATCCTTGTATCCTTGTATCCTTGTATAGGTATCCTTGTATCCTTGTATCCTTGTATCTTTCTACCTTTGCATCCTTGTATCCTTGTATCCTTGTATCCTTGTATATCTTTGTATCCTAGTGTATCCTTGTATCCTTGTATCCTTGAATCCTTGTATCCTTGTATCCTTGTATCCTTGTATCCTTGTATCCTTGTATCCTTGTCCTCGTACCCTTGTATCTGTGTATCCTTTAAGCCTTGTATCCTTGTATCCTTGTATCCTTGTATCCTTGTATCCTTGTATCCTTGTACCCTTGTATCCTCGTACCCTTGTATCTGTGTATCCTTTAAGCCTTGTATCCTTCTACCCTTGCATCCTTGTATCCTTGTATCCTTGTATCCTTGTATCCTTGTACCCTTGTATCCTTGTATCCTTGTATCCTTGTTTCCTTGTATCCTTGTATCCTTGTATCCTTGCATCCTTGTATCCTTGTATCCTTGTATCCGTCTACCCTTGCATCCTTGTATCCTTGTATATCCTTGTATTCTTGTATATCCTTGTATCCTTGTATCCTTGTATATCCTTGTATTCTTGTACATCCTTGTATCCTTGTTTCCTTGTATCTTTGTATCCTTGTATCCTTGTATCCTTGTATCCTTGTATCCTTGTATAGGTATCCTTGTATCCTTGTATCCTTGTATCCTTCTACCCTAGCATCCTTGTATCCTTGTATATCCTTGTATCCTAGTGTATCCTTGTATCCTAGTTTATCCTTGTATCCTTGTATCCTTGTATTGGTATCCTTGTATCCTTGTATCCTTGCATCCTTGCATCCTTGTATCCTTGTACCCTTGTATTCTTGTATCCTTGTATCCTTGTATCCTTGTATCCTTGTATCCTTGTACCCTTGTATCCTTATGTCCTTGTATACTTGTATAATCCTTGTACCCTTGTACCATTGTATAGGTATATCTTTGTACCCTTGTACCTTTGTATAAGAATATCCTTGTACCCTTGTATAGGTATACCCTTGTACCCTTGTTAGGTATACTTCTGAACCCTTGTTTTTGTGTATCGTTGTTTCCTTGGTTTTTTTGTGAGTAAATCTAAGACTCACACAGAAAAAAATGCGAATTTTAAAGTTTTTACATATTTTATGATATTCTAGAATACTGGTAGTTTGACAGTTTTTCTTCTGGTTCAACTCAGCCTCTGTACAGGACTTAATGTGTAAGTTTTGCATGGTTATTTTCCTGAGAAAACCAGACTTTATTTGATCAGCTGTTTTATCTTTATTTTGGATCCCCATCTATATATAAATTTGGCTTGTCTGGCTGTTTGTCTGTTTGTCACGTGACCACAGGAAAGGTTTATGAATGATAAAAATTTAAAAAAAAATGTGTTTTAAAGGTTTTAATTTTGTAAAAAAAATTAAATTCTTGAAAATCCGCGAATTTTTATTTTAAATCCGCAAAATTTTTTTCTTCTTTGTTTTAAAATGTAAACAAAAAGAACATGTTCACAATTTAAATAGAAGATGGGCGCGAAGCGCCCTTAAAGCCTAGTATAGAATATTTCACAGAAACAAAAGTTTGGAATTGCAGATTGATTTGATATTTTCAAACTTTATCTATTAAAAGAAGAATTTGCATTATACAGTGCATGGAATCCAAACAAACAGACAGACAGACAAACATAGATGTCTACTTTAAATATAGATATATTAGGAAAACAGGAAGGTAACGAAAACAGGAAATTAGAGAAATTATGAAAAATAAAGAAAACAGGAGAATTAAGATTAAAGTACATGAAACAAGTGAGATTTGTAAGATTCTTTTCCCTCTCCTCTGCTCCCAATCTATTCCCTCTCCTCTGCTCCCAATCTATTCTCTCTCCTCTGCTCCCATCTATTATCTCCTCTGCTACCATCCATTCTCTCTCCTCTGCTCCCAATCTATTTCCTCTCCTCTGCTCCCTTCTATTCACTCTTCTCTGCTCCCATCTATTCTCTCTTCTCTGCTCCAATCTATTCTCTATTCTCTGCTCCCATCTATTCCCTCTCCTCTGTTCCCATCTATTCTCTCTTCTCTGCTCCCATCTATACTCTCTCCTCTGCTCCCATCTATTCTCTATTCTCAGCTCCCATCTATTCCCTCTCCTCTGATCCCATTTATTCTCTCTCCTCTACTCCCATCTATTCTCAATTCTCTGCTCCAATCTATTCCCTCTCCTCTGCTTCAATCTATTCTCTCTTCTCTCTTCCCATCTATCGCTCTTCTCTGCTCCGAATCTATTCTCTCTTCTCTGTTCCATCTATACTCTCTCCTCTGCTCCCAATCTATTCTCTCTCCTCTGCTCCCATCTGTTCTGTCTCCTTTGCTCCCAATCTATTCTCTCTTCTCTGCTCCCATCTATTATCTCCTCTGCTACCATCCATTCTCTCCTCTGCTCCCATCTGTCGTTTTTTAAAAAGCGTTGTTTCGTGAACGATCGTTAACGACAACCCTTCGTTAACGATCGTTTTAAAAAACAATTGATTTTTAAAACGATCGTTATTTGTTTTCTAAAAGCTCAAAACGAGGGGGTCATTTTTAAAAACTATCGTTTCTCTCATCTGTCTTGTGTAACTGTTAGACTAGAACAGATTGATTAGAGGTTTAGAGGAAGATGAATCACACAACCTTATAAACCTTAAGCAAGCTCTTTCATTTTATATATATTATTTATCATTTATATTTGTCTAAAGCAAAATTACATTAAACAATATAAAAGTTTACAAACTAATACTCTTTTCTCTGGATATCGCATTGTATATTTGACAGGGTTTGCCAAAAAAAAAACAGCATGCAATATAAGACTTTTAGCATGAGTATAGTTTAGCTATTCAGAGGTGGTTTTCAGAGAAGGGGTTTCTTGGTCCCAGTCTAGTGTTTTTTGCTTTCTAGCAAAATCATGTTTTCTTGCGCCGCGTAAAAAAACATGAAAATCACACTTGAAAAAAAATTCAACAATGCATGTTTTTTCCTTGCGCTTGTTCGTTTTCATTCCAATCTTTCAACTTTGTTAAAAACTTTGATTTCATTTCATGAATATGATTTTATTTAGCAAAATCATGTTTTCTTGCGACGCGCAAAAAACATGAAAATCACACTTGAAAAAAATATAACAATGCATGTTTTTTCCTTGCGCTTGTGCGTTTTCATTCCAATCTTTCAACTTTGTTAAAAACTTTGATTTAATTTCATGAATATGATTTTATTTAGTAAAATCAAGTTTTCTTGCGCCGCGCAAAAAAACATGAAAATCACACTTGAAAAAAAATTTAACAATGCATGTTTTTTCCTTGTGCTTGTGTCTTTTTATTCCAATCTTTCAACTTTGTTAAAAACTTTGATTTCATTTCATGAATATGATTTTATTTAGCAAAATCATGTTTTCTTGCGCCGCGCAAAAAAACATGAAAATCACACTTGGAAAAAAATTCAACAATGCATGTTTTTTCCTTGCACTTGTGTTTTTTCATTGCAATTTTTCAACTTAGTTAAAAACTTTGATTTCATTTGATAAATATGATTTTATTTAGCAAAAACATTTTTTCTTGCGCCGCGCAAAAAACATGAAAATCACACTTGAAAAAAAATTCAACAATGCATGTTTTTTCCTTTCGCCTGTGCGTTTTCATTGCAATCTTTCAATTTTGTTAAAAACTTTTATTTCATTTCATGAATATGATTTTATTTAGCAAAATCATGATTTCTTGCGCCGCGCAAAAAAAACATGAAAATCATATTTGAAAAAAAATTCAACAATGCATGTTTTTTCCCTTTCGCTTGTGTGTTTTCATTCCAAACTTTCAACTTTTTTAAAAACTTTGATTTCATTTCATGAATATGATTTTATTTAGCAAAATCATGTTTTCTTGCGCCGCGCAAAAAAAACATGAAAATCACACTTGAAAAAAAAAATCAACAATGCATGTTTTTTCCTTGCGCTTGTGTGTTTTCATTCCAATCTTTCAACTTTGTTAAAAACTTCGATTTCACTTCATGAATATGATTTTATTTAAGAAAATCATGTTTTCTTGCGCCGCGCAAAAAAAATGAAAATCACACTGTAAGCGTAATAAGTTATATTTATTGTTAAAGGGACTGTAAGCGTAATAAGTTATATTTATTGTTAAAGGGATTGTAAGCGTAATAAGTTATATTTACTGGTAAAGGGACTGGAAGTGAAACAAGTTATAATATTTATTGTTAAAAGGATTGTAAGTGCCCATCCGACCTACGAAAAATGCCCATCCGATCTGCGAAAAATGCCCATACTTCCTACGAAAAGTGCCCATCCGACCTACGAAAAATGCCCATCCGACCTACGAAAAATGCCCATCCGACCTACGAAAAATGCCCATCCGACCTACGAAAAAGGCCCATCAGACCTACTAACGTGTCCAAGCGACAGCTTAAAGTAGGTCGGATGCACCAACATACTGTTTTTAATGTGCACCCATCCGACCTACAGTGCATCGGACCTACCACATCTGTTAAAACCACGTGTTTGTAGGTCTGATGGGAAGTAGAGGGGATGGACGTAGTTCCAAAAATACACCACCAAATTTCGAAGTTCTAACTGAAGACGACGTTTACATGGGTCTTTAGTCTATTTTTTCTAGTCTTTACTTTCCAAAAGAAATCTTTTCGTTTAATTATTTCCAAACCAAATAAAACCTTATGGCCCAACCTGTCGTCATTGCCTTAGTCTGTTCCACTTTAGTATTTATTCATTTTGATTGTAAGGCAGAGTTAACTGTTTCATCACCCAGTATTCTTATTCTAGTGTATGCTTGCGTCATAGTTGTTTTGTGCAGGGTGGATATTGAAGTGATGTCTAGGCCAGGTTTCAAGTGTAGAGCAGCATTTGTTGCGCAGGGTGGTAATCCAGTCATTTTTTTCCACAAATTTATCAGTGAATGTGTCTAGTTTCTTCAGATGACTCTGTGATATTGTATGAACAGTGAGCAGAAATCGAATAGAAGGAATGAAATAATGTTTGTAGATCCAGACTTTATATTCATCCCGAATAAGAAGTGCATTAATGTTTATTAGGTTTTTTTTTCAAATTCACTCTTGATGTAATCGAAAGCATCACTAAGGTTACCAGTAGGAAATAGAAGTTTGCCAAGGAATTTCTGCTCTTCTTGAAATACTGGGTGTCCCACGAAACATGACAGTATGCAAGACGAGTTGATTTTTTATATAATTTGCTGCGTTTATTTGTCAACCTAATTTTAGAAGTAAATTTCTAGAGATAATAATCACAAAATTCCCCAAGTCCTGCCATTTCCAAAATGTGGTCTGCCTTTTTTGTGCTGATATAAAGCTGAATTTCGGCAGGAACATTAAACCTTTTGAGGGTATGTATGATGAGAGGGTGCGGCACTGAACCAAATGCATCTTCTAAATCGAAAAATGTTACATGGACAAATTATTAATAAGAAAAAATGTGGATTTCCCCTTTTTTGCTCCTCTCACCCCTTAGATCCATCTCACCGCTACCGGCCGCCAGTAAATATGATTTCGGAGTTTTCTTCATAATTTGTAAATTCGTTAAAACTCAAATTAATTTGCGAAAATGAATTTGAAATTTGTCTAAAATTTCTAGAAATAAATTTATAAAAGCAACAGATCCGAACACTTTGCATTTTTATTATTCTAAACTGTAGGATCGAACAAGGCTTGCAGATAAATCATCAACAAAAACATATAATTATTACTTTGAAATGATCCCCTAAAAGTTTGTAAAACAAGTGACTTCAATAAAACATAACACACCATCGTATCTAATTTCAAAAAGTTGTCTTTTTATTAGTAGAGAGTGCTGTTGTCAAGTTGTAGGCATTAGTGAGAACATTTGTGTTTTGAATCTCTGTATTAACATTGAAAATCGGGCAAATTTTAACATTCTAATTACGACATTTTACATTATTAAGAGAAAATAATCAGTCAAATGGGTTGTATGAAGCAAAACTATAGTACAGTCGTCGTTATATATATATCAATACGATGAAGACAACTTTCGATTTCAAATTTTGATTTTTACCAAGCTTTTAAACAGTATGGATTCACACATACATGGAAACAAAGAGAGCTTATCAAATAAAAGCTTCTGTAAACTTGGAATTTGAAAAAAGCTTGTTATAAATCAAAACTTAAACAGAAAAGTCGTCTTCATAGTATTGATATAATCGCCTATATACCAATGTATTTTATATTTTCTTCATTTTAGTATTCCCGAGGATGGATATGAAGAACTTCGGAATCTGCTAAATCGTTTAGGTATTTTTTCTTAATTAAAGTTCATATTTTCCATACTGGAAAAATCCAAGATGACTAGAGGCTTATATTGTGTGTATATGTTATGGGAAAGGATATGATGGGAGGGGGATATGGCCGGAGGCAATCTATACATATATATATATATGTATATATATATATATATATATGCAAACTATACGTATATATCTACATAAATATAGTAGTTTCAAGGCTAATCTGAGTAATCGATTTTTGTTTTGTTTGATTTATTACATTCCAAACCAGAGAAGTGCAATGGCTCTAATAAAATATTCCCCTTTGTTTCGTCAATTATCTCTTCAACAACTTTCATATTTTGGTTAATTTACAATACATATTTATACCCTTGTAACAAAGTTTTAAAATGAAGAAGAAAATTGTTTACAATCATAATATACATGGATGAAAAATTAAATGTTCAATAGTTGATATTAGGGTTTTCAAGCTCTGTGTACTTGTAGCATCTAAAGATTAGATTTATTAAAGAAACGGTTAAGAATGGTTCCGGTCTTGATTTCAATAAGTTTAAATTGTTTGCTTCAGGAAAGGTTAATTCCGTAAGGTCTTTCCGGATTCAAATGAATCCGGAAGAAATAAAAAAAGTTTTAACAACTAATAAGCTTCCCAGAACATGATTTAACCTCTTTGTAACTTTAAAAATAAAGAAAAGTTTTTTGTTTGAGCAATCTTTTTTCTTTTTTCTGAAAAATCGAAATCTCATGGTAATTCGTAATATCTAATGTAATAAAGAGAGCAAAAAAAGCAGACCACATTTGGAAATACACGGGGAAGGATTTTTTTTATCATTATTAATGTTCCAAGAAACAAACTAGTAAAACTATGATCTCATGTGAAAGCCGCCATTTCCCCTTTTCATTATGTTTATTTGGATCCCCCATTCTTCTTTTAAAACCACTATTTCTTCCGTCACTAAAGTTAGTTTAGGGTGCCCCTTGTATCCAAACTGCAGTTTAGGGTGCACCTTGTATCCAAACAGTTTAGGGTGCACCTTTTATCCAAACAGTTTAGGGTGCACCTTGTATCCAAACAGTTTAGGGTGCACCTTGTATCCAAACAGTTTAGGGTGCACCTTGTATCCAAACAGTTCAGGGTGCACCTTGTATCATAACAGTTTAGGGTGCACCTTGTATCCAAACAGTTTTGGGTGCACCTTGTATCCAAACAGTTTAGGGTGCACCTTGTATCCAAACAGCTTAGGGTGCACCTTGTATCCAAACAGTTTAGGGTGCACCTTGTATCCAAACAGTTTAGGGTGCACCTCGTATCCAAACAGCTTAGGGTGCACCTTGAATCCAAACAGTTTAGGGTGCACCTTGTATCCAAACAGTTTAGGGTGCACCTTGTATCCAAACAGTTTAGGGTGCACCTTGTATCCAAACAGCTTAGGGTGCACCTTGTTTCCAAACAGTTTAGGGTGCACCTTGTATCCAAACAGTTTAGGGACACCTTGTTTATATATGGTTGATAAGATTAGTACCAAACGTATTATAAAAAGATGGTGATGAACAAAATGGTGTGCAAGTTGTAGAATCGAACGATTTTTTTTGCGAGGCCTGAGATTCAAACTTAAGTACTTTTTTTTATAAAAAATGGAAGAACATTTTTTCTTTAGATTGTGTCTCGATCTGCTGTTTCAACAAAAGTGTGCATTGTACAATGCAGGGAACCAGAATAAATGGAATTTGTGTCGTTTTTCTACCATTAAATATCAATAAGTTTTTAAATTTGCTCAGAACATTTTTAAAGAAAAATATCTGTTGCAACAACTACAAATTTCTTAGCGACATTTTGAGTAAATTAAACATCAAATACGACATTTATTCCTCATATTTCTGATTCCTTCTCTACATGTAAACACTTTTTTGGTATTCATGATTCATAAAGTTTATTCGATCTAAATATTAGAATCAAGAACCAGAACTCTGGAGGCTAGAGTAGAGTATCTAGAACAGGAGTTGAACTCAATCGATCAAATAACAAGGGAACAGAATTCCAGCGTTAAGATCACTAGGACGGATTCCCAGGTCGTTGAAATCTCTAGGCTTGAGAGGTTGGAGCAGAGGTTTGAGATTATGGAGGAGATCTTGGCTCAACCTGATGGGAAAGAGGTTAGATCAATTAAGGACATATACAGAAATATTTTTTATATCAGACGCCTTCCCCCCCCCCATAGAAGGTTCTATGTTTTGGAGGGGGTGGGAAAAATTTGAACTGTAAATTCAAAACATTTGACTTCTTGGATATCAGACATCTTCAGACATCTATATACATATACATTTTTTGCTTGTCTTGGTGTTTGTTTGTTTGTATCCAATAAACGTCAAAACGGCTGAACCGATCAGGCCCAACATTTTTGGGGACCTCGCATGACCCCAGGAAAGATTTAAGGATGTTCAAAATTTTAAAAATTTGCCTCTAACAAAATTAGATATCTGAAAATTTTGAAAATCCAGGTTTTTTTATTTATTCGCGAATTTTTTTTTCTTTACAATGTATACAAGGAGAACATGTTTACAATTAAAATATAAGATGAGCGCGAAGCACTCTAAAATCCTAGCAAATATAAACTACTTTAAAGGTACTTCATTCCAATTACCTTGCAAGTATTACTCAATCAGAAATTAACGAATTTGGCAGAATCTTGACTGCTCATAACTGGTATGAAATATTGAGCACTGATGATATAGATGAGAAAACTCGGAACTTTCACAATACTATCAGATCTAAATATGAAGAATTTTTTCCTGAAAAAAGTATCACTGTTAGTCCTCTAGATAAACCATGGATGACACCAGAGCTAAAAAGAATTAACAGAAAAATGAAGCAAGAATTTTGGAGCAATCGCAAAAGTCCTCTTTGGAAAACCCTACAGAAAAAATTTCTAACTGTAAAGAAAGCAAATTGTAAAAGATTTTACACCAGAATTTTTGATGAAGCCTTAAACTCCAGCCCCTCCCGTTGGTACAGTCTGGTTAAAAAGATAGACTCGCAAGATGTCAAATCTGAGTCTATCAATGTAGAATGTCTTAATGATATTCTTGACGAAGATGCAGCAGACTGTGTTGCTGAACACTTTGCCAGGATATCTCAAGAATATGAACCATTAAATAGAAATATTCTCCCATCCTTCCTTCCTTCTCTCCCCCCGCCAACTCTACATGAGCATGAAATATACAACGAACTGAGAATGATGAAAAGAACCAAATCCGTCCTTCCTATTGATCTTCCATATAAACTTAGAACCAAATTCGCAGCTGAGCTTGCCTAACCCTTGACTAACATTTTTAATACTTGTTTGCAGCAAGGAACATATCCAAAAATGTGGAAATTTGAATGGATAACACTGGTGCCTAAGTTGAAAAACCCAATTACAATAAAAGACCTTCGTAAGATTTCATGCACAAGTGATTTTAGTAAACTTTTTGAAAGGTTTCTGAGAAATTGGATTTTAGAAGATATAGAACCCAACCTTGATCCTGCACAGTATGGAAATCAAAAAGGAACAGGAGCTGATCATATGTTAATATCCTTAGTAGATAAAATCCTATCTCATCTAGACAACAACCTAGGATCCCCTGGAGTACTAGCAACTATGTTGGATTGGTCAGCTGCTTTTGATCGACAATGTCCCACTCTAGGGATCATAAAATTTATGAATCTAGGAGTTCATCCTGCTCTTCTCAGTGTAATATCAAGTTACTTGTCTAATAGATCAATGTCAGTAAAATTTAATGGAAGTACCTCTAAAACATACCAAATGCCGGGAGGTGGTCCACAGGGTACACTTCTTGGAGTACTGGAGTACCTAGTTCAATGCAATGATAATGCAGATTGTGTTAATACTGACTGCAGATTTAAATATGTTGACGATCTAACTATGCTTGAACTTCTCTATTTATCCAACCTTTCAACTGGAATATCCTCATATAACCATAAGCTGCATGTTGCATCAGATATTGGTATTGATAATATTTTTATCCCTCTGACCAACCTTCACACTCAGATATGCATTAACACAATATCAGACTGGACTAAACAGAATAAAATGATGCTTAATTGTGAGAAATCCAACTATATGCTATTCACCAGATATAAATCCAAGTTTAGTACCAGACTGAAACTAAATAGCTCTAACCTCCAAAGAGTCGAATCAATGAAGTTACTTGGAGTCTGGATAACTGAAAACCTAGATTGGGAGACTAATACAAGAGAAATATGCAAAAAGAGTTATGCCCGATTATCCCTACTCTGTAAACTCAAGTTTATTGGTATGAACCTGAAAGACCTGGTTAGAGTTTACATTGCGTATTTACGTAGTATTCTTGAGTACTGTTGTGTAGTATGGAGTTCCTCTTTAACCATAGCACAGGGTGAGGCCCTAGAAAGGGTTCAGAAGGTGTCCCTAAAAGTTATTCTAGGAGCAGTATATGTTAATTATCAATATGCTCTATCAGTTCTGGAACTAGAAACCTTAAGGATTAGGAGAGAGAAACTTTGTTTATCCTTTGCTAAAAAATGTCTAAAATCTCAAAGGCATTCTGCCCTATTCCCGGTAGAACCAGTCACTCACAACCACCAGCTACGGAACGTTGAACTATTTACTGTCAACTATGCTAGAATGGAGAAATACAGAAAATCTGCTATTCCCTATATGCAGAGAAAATTAAACTTCCTATGATATAACCTTATCTTAATCTGTGATAAAACCCATGATATATTCAATTATATTCTTATGAGAATGTTAATCATATTATAATATGTATTATGATCTTGATTTATCTCTAATAAATCTTACTTACTTACTTACTTACTTACTTACTTTATCTCTCCTTCAAAAAAAACTTTGTAAACTTAAAAGGGAGAATTAGGATACGGCACTGCAATAATTTATATTTTTTTGTGTGGTGGCGGGGGGGGGAGGACTCCCCTTAAAGCCTCCAATTCTGAACAGCAAGCTAATTCTTTTTATGATCTTCCCTCTTCAGTTTAAGATTTGAAAAATGAGCCATGAGCCACCACTATTTCCTCTTCGGGGCCACATATTAGCTTTTTTCTCTTCCGACATCCATAAGCCACCACTATTTCCCTTTCCGACCACCACATTTGACTCTTGCAGGCAAAACTAAATGGTACATTTATGGCCTTTACAGTGTTATTTTAAAAAATCAATAAATATATCATTCAGAAAAGTAATTTTGACCGGAAGAGTTAAATGTGGTGGTACGGAAGAGGAAATAGTGGTGGCTCATGGCTGCTGGAAGAAATAGGCTAATATGTGGCCCGGAAGAGGAANAATTATTTCAGAATTTAATCCAGAGATGGGATTTTAAAAGCTTAAACCCAAGTAAAACCCGGTCTTTTCGTCTGCTTAGACACAAGTAAAGCTCAAGTCAAGACCCGGGTTTTGGATGTCTTGAGTTTAATAAGAACCAACCATCTTGGGTTTTTCTATCTTTAAGGCTCGAGTCTTCAGCAGCTGATGATCGTAAATTTTGTAAAATCTTTTATATTTGTACATTTTAAATCTCGGGAATTATTTGTGGTGTAAAATTTTATTAATTACTAGCCTTATAGGGCGCTTCTTGCCCATATTCTAAATTAATTGTGAACATGTTCTCTTTGTGTACATCGTAAAACAAAACAAAAATAATTCGGGGATTTTCACAAAAAATTTCGTGGATTTTCAAAATTTTCAAAAATTTAATGAAGATCGAATTTTGATGGAGACAAATGTTTGAAATTTTGATCATAAAAAAACTTCCCTGTGGTCATGTAATGTCCCACAAAAAATTTGGGCCCGATCGATTCGGCCATTTTGACGTTTATTGGATACAAACAAACAAACAGACATACAGACACCCAAGCCAAATTTATATTTAGATGTAAAATAAACAATAAACATACAACTGTGTCTACATAAAGTTTTAACTTTCAAAATTTACATCTCCTTGTCACAGTTGATCTGACGGCATTATGTCTGCTATAGAGAGAAAGCTTGCAAAACAGTCTCTCATTGGTTGAATCAGAACCAATCCTGACTTGGGTTCTATCTAAGCCCGAGTTTGGGTTTTAGTCGGGTTTAAACAAAGATGATATATATATAGATATGCAGGCAGGTATAAATTTTGAGGTCTTGAGAAAAGGTGCAAACAGCACCATCTCTGTCGTATGCATGGCATTTTATCCTCTGGATTGTTGCTAATTTATCACTTTGTTTATGCGTGATAGCACTAAATGCGTACTTGTGTGTCTGTACCAGAAGAGTGTTTGTAAGTTTACTGTACTGGTCTGCAAAGCAGTGAGACTGGCTTTCTCTTGCCGGACAAGTGCCATTTCCTTTCCCTTTATTCCTGTTCCCTGTTCAAAAATTAGTTGTCTGCTACAAGCAATTTAGGAAGGAGGTTTCTACCTGCCTGCATATCTATATATATTATCTTTGGGTTTAAAGCTTTTAAAATCTCATCTCTGGATACAATACAACATTATTCTTAAATTGGGAATTACAAAGATGAGGCGTTGATAACTTTTATTCTCTGTAAACAAGTGTAAACGTTGTTGAGGGGTTTCAGGGGTTTCGGGTGTTTTAGGGGTTGAGGGTAGGGTGGGGGCATTAATTTAGAAGAAAACATTTGTTTAATCACAAATAGGACTAGAGAGAATCGATGGTAATGCACAGATATTATTAAGTTATAAATATTTCATGATTCGTTTCAATTACATTTTGTATCTTCAGGTCACTAAATTCGAACACTGATAAGATCTATCATAATTTTATGCACAACAGGGTTGAGAACCCTTTTATACCCTAGTGCGCCAGGCGTGTCTATCGGTATATAGACCTATATATGTATATGTTGTATATGTATAACATATAAATCAGAGTTGTTGCACTCCTCCCTCTTCACAATGTGTAGATGTACGCACAGAAGATTCAAAGCAAAGTATAGTTAAGATAATTAGATAAAATCAATGAGGTTGCTCATCTAAAAAGCAGAGTATCGAGGAGGAAGTAGCGGGACAGCGGTACTAAATTGATAAATAAAACTACCAATCAACTGTATTAAACAAAGTATTTTGATAACATTAATCTAATATTTTGCACTAATACACATAATAAAAAAAATATAAGAATCCTAATGCTAAGTTATTTTCTAATTCGAAGGTAGGGAACGTAGGAAACGGGGCCGGGTGAGGAGGAGAAAGTGGGGGGGGGGGTGTTAGGTGGTAATGCATAGATTAAATATTTAATCTTTGTGAAAATAATAATTAATGATAGAGCCCAGAAAGATCATTTGAGAAGGATTTTCTAGACTTAAGTTATAAAAATTAATATCTCTGATAGATGAATTAAAAAGACACTTAAATTAAGGATGTTAAGTACGATGAACTACAACAAGGATATGGAACCGGGAAACAATTTCTCTTTCCCTTCATCCCTGCATCCAGTTCAACTGCAGCATCATCTTCGACATCATGCTCATGCACATCAGAGATACAGGAGCTTAATGACGTTATCAAGTAAAATATTATTATTATTCTGGTTTTGAATTGGGTGATGATATTATTATTGGTGATGATGCTGTATTTGCTTTTGATGTTGTTGTTGTTGTTGATCGGCAATGATTTTGTTGTTGGCAATGATGATGTAGGATTTTATTAACTTGATGATGGTATTGATGTTGGTGATGATGTGGTATTTGTTGATGATGTTGTTGATAATGATGGTATGAATGCTGACATTGTTATTGTCGATTATCTATTCTTTTTTAATGTGAATGGTTTTGTTTTTTATTGATATTCTTTGGATTAGTTCGAAATTTTCAATTCAACAAGTTTTATTTCAGTTTTGTATCAGCTAGGTCTAAACCAGTACAGGTCCTAATTTTATAACATATTTCTTTTCATTATTTATTAAATTTCTATATTACATATCATTTGCTAAACTATATTTTGAATATACATTACATACACGATGTAAAAGTAAAAATGAATTATTTAGAAATTGTAAAATCGGAACAAAAAGCTTTACATTAATTGACTTTTAATTTCAAAAAAGAAATATATCTTTTTACTCTTTTAAAGCGGTATCGTGTATGTACTTTGTGACACCATTTAACTGTTTTTGGTAAAATCTTTCATTTTTATACTTTATGAACAAACAATTCTATAAAGCCTAAAATCTAATTCATGAAAACTTTTCTTTGAAGGGAGGTGTAACCGGAGGTTATGAAATATTTGATGAGGCTCAATTTCAATATAGTGAGGTAAGATTCATAGTTATGATATTCCAAATGGTTTTATCAAAAGTATTAAAAAGGATCAATATTGTATAAATATTTCAGACTTTTCTAGAAATCATAATTTGGAACATATTTAAAAGTTCTTAATTAAAAGCATTTACATTTAGCCTTATTTTTGGTTTAAATTGCACGGTATTCATAGTGTTATTACATATTATTAATTTGGTATTGATTTTAAAACTAAGTTGGTATTATTATTAGCCGTTATTGAAATTGGTATTGGTATTAATATTGATATTGGTATTGATATTGATATTGGTATTAATATTGATATTGATATAAAAAATCACAATTTACTATGTAGTTTGGACCCGCCTAACCAGAGTAGGTTGTTTTAATTGGTTGACCCACTATAAACGAATGAGAATTGCAGATAAAAACAATGTACATTGTACATTTTAAACATAAGAATGATAATAAATCAGGTAAAAGGTAAGGAGGAGGTGAGGTATTGGTATTAGTATTGGTATTAGTATTGGTATTGGTATTGGTATTGGTATTGGTATTGGTATTGGTATTAGTATTGGTATTGATATTGGTATTTCTATTGGTATTGTTATTGGTATTAATATTGGTATTGGTATTGGTATTGATATTGGTATTAGTATTAGTATTGGTATTGGTATTGGTATTGGTAATGATATTGGTATTGATATTGGTATTGATATTAGTATTAGTATTAATATTGGTATAAGAATTAATTTGAAATTAATAATAGAATAGAAAATGTTTAACAAACTATGAATCGAACTATTTAGATATTTGCGAATATAACGAACCTATACAGTAAGGTTCAGGCCAACAGAGCGGATATAGATACTAAATGCAGCAAGAAGAAATGTGATATGGTGAGCTAGAACTGTAAAATAATTAACATAAATTGATCTTCATCAATTTGACCACTAATCAATGTTAAAATGTCTTCTCAAGCCCAATCTCATTTTCACGAACACTGGTTTTAAAGGGACTGCTTTAATAATCCTCCGATTAAAGGGACTGTTTTAATATTCCTCCAATTAAAGGGACTGCTTTAATATTCCTCCAATTAAAGGGACTGCTTTAATAATCCTCCAATTAAAGGGACTGTTTTAATATTCCTCCAATTAAAGGGACTGCTTTAATAATCCTTCAATTAAAGGGACTGCAATAATATTTCTCCAATTAAAGGGACTGCTTTAATATTCTTCCAATTAAAGGGACTGCTTTAATATTCCTCCAATTAAAGGGACTGCTTTAATATTCCTTCGATTAAAGGAACTGCTTTAATATTCTTCCAATTAAAGGGACTGCTTTAATATTCCTCCAATTAAAGGGACTGCTTTAATAATCCTGTAATTAAAGGGACTGCTTTTATATTACTCCAATTAAAGGGACTGCTTTAATAATCCTCCAATTAAAGGGACTGCTTTAATAATCCCCCAATTAAAGGGACTGCTTTAATATTCCTCCAATTAAAGAGAGACATGCCCTATACACAACGATGAAGCCTGGATCTTTTCAATAATTCGGAAGCTAAATTCTTCATGGTTTCTGCTGTAAAAAAAGTTCAAGATAATTCTGCAGATAAACTACAGTTAAAGGGAACATTTAAAATAATACTTGAGGCCGAATTTAAAGAATTTGAGCCGCGGCTCAAATATGGTTGGTTCCACTTAAATTCGTATCAAATCTTTCAAGATTCAAACCGGTTTCAATTGAAACCGGTTTTTGGGGGATTTGAGACGTGGTTCATATTAATTAAATTCGGACTTTATTCAGACAAAGTATACCGTTGTGAATCGGAAATGCCACTCTATCGATGAAGGGTCACTTTAAATTACGTTTACAGTCCCTTTTGTGGTATCTATGAGCACCTATTTTGTAAATTGTATATTGTTTAACAAACGTGTATTTTTCTAAGATTTATGAGCATAAAAAGTAGTATTTAAATACCTATTAAATCTCAAATCCGAACCAGAGGCAATTTTTAGAAAAAGTAAACACATGTGTGTATTAGATACTTGACTTAATCAACCGCAATTGTGGTAGTTTCTTCTCATTATTTAAAAATAAGTATCTATGCATGAAACAATTAACAGTTATGTATATAAGTCTGTATAATGTATCTACCCAAACACATGCGATAAAATTGCAGGGTGTCTCAAAGAATGCCTTATTATACAATAAGACTCAACAAACTGTGGAATAGGAAGACTTATTAATTTAATCAGTTTAATTTTTTTGAAAAACGATCGCTTCGTTCTGAAAACGACGACGAAAAATCGAAAACAAAACGATCTTTTTTAAAATTGATCGTATTTTTTAAAAGCTCGTTTTTTAAAAAGGTCGTTTTTCAAAACGATCGTTTTTTAAAAAGGTGGTTTTTCAAAACGATCGTTTTTTATCAAAATCATCGTTTTGTTAATGACTACCCTTCGTTAACGATTGTTAACGAAGAGAGGAAACCAACCTTGAGGGCATCTATACTTATCACTGAGTAGTTTTTATGAAAATATCAAGAAGTTTTAGCTCCCCCACAACTTTTAAACTTCAATAAAGTTGCATATAATTTTTTTTTCAAAAACGACAGTTTTTCCCAAAACGACCGTTTTTAAAATTCGTCGTTTCGTTAACGATCGTTAATGACAACCCTTCGTTAACGATTGGTAACAAGGACCATTCGTTAACGATTCTTAACATAATTGTTAATAAAATTTATATTTAAAAAAAACGATAGTTTTTTAAAAAAACAATCGTATAAAAAATGGTCGCAAATAGTTTTTATAAAAGCAATCGTTATTCGTTTTCTAAAATTTCAAAAGGAGTGGGTCGTCTTTAAAAACGATAGTATTTTTCCGAAAACGAAATGATCGTTTTTGAAAACGATTGAAAAAAGAAACAAAAAACGATCGTTTAACGTTTTAACAACCCTACCCCCATGCCATATTCATGTTAACCTACCCTTTACGCCAAATTATTTTACCCACAATAAAGAAGATATTGCCGTTGTTCTGCCCAAAACAAATCTATTTTGATTCTTTATGTCGCTGCTGCATAAATCTGCTGGATGAAACCAAAATTTGAAGATGTCGGAAATTCAAGTCTTTAAATGAGGGACAATGTCACTTAAAATAAAGTTGACAGTGCTTTTCTGAAGAAAATAATTTGTTTAGATATTGAACAAGGCAAAGAAGGTGAACCAAATGGTAAAGTTCCTCTCCACCATGAACATCACTTACTTAGAGACCGTCGTGAACATGCTCAGGAACACAAACTTTAATCTATATTTTATTTCTAATTTAGAAAGTAAAACCTGGAAGCAAATAAATCTAAAATTTCTCTAAAACGATCAATTAAGTAAAGAAAATTGCGAAAAGGGAAATGCCCCCCTTCCCCCTAATGTTGTGTAATATCAATCTTATTTCTAAAATATGACTATGACATTTTAATTTCAAAGGAATAGTGATTTTTAAGGATTTTTGTAATTCTTTTGTTAAAAGCTTTTGATATCTAATAACTTTCAAATTCTAGCAGATTAATTTAAAATCTTTCTGTCATACGAATTTTAATTGTAATTATATTACTAATTGTTTATTGTTTGTGCGTACTGCAGTACAAGTACTGCCACTGCTACATTAACCAACCTGGACGCATGTTTGAAGGATCCCACCTCTGCTACATGTACTGCTGCTTATGGGTGAGTAAAACCAAGAATGATATATTTCTTTATATTATTGGTGTACTGTAGTTTCTGGGACAAATGTAAACAAAACTAAGCTAGATCCGGGCTGGGATTATTTACATTCCTACCAGATATTGTTTATTGACTGCTCCTATGCTCATAGGTTAAGCAGGCATAACATAAGACATAAGACATAAGATACAATTAGGGTGACTGGCAAAAATTCTCCCAAATAAAGATTTAATTTATTCGAAAAAATAATGGCTTGTTCAACGAACTACTCAGGTAGTTCGATGTGAGTGGGTACACAATAGCAGTACTATGCACACCACCAACCTCGTTATATAACGCCTAGTTGGCCTTTTTGGGTTTAACCTAGATTAATATGAAATGGAAATGAAGTATAGAATATTAGAAAGATTAATTTGAAGTTGAGGTGTAAACTTATAAATTTATACTTACCTAAAGTGTTGTTAGGTATAATTTGAATTTAAGGGGTAAACAATAAACATGTATTAAAAAATAGTTATAGGGATTATCAGTATTCTAGCCAGCATTTCGTAAATCATAAACTTAATTGCTTAAATTAATCTTACTTTTAGTTCAGCCTGATATGGATTTTAGAGAAGAATTGGTCCCTTAGTTCAATCAGTATATATCCTCGTGTCACATAATCTTGCAAGGGTAGGTTTTTTTGGCCTCCAAGGAATTTCCTTACAATGTTGACTGGTTGTTCTCCCAGTTGCCTGTTAGTGTCAATCCAAGACTGTAGAGAGACTTCTTCTGATACATCAAGTGACTTTCTAACATCTACCATAGCAGTACATTGTACAAGGAGATGAATTTCATTATTTCCCAGTCCTTGACCGCCAGCTTTGCCTTCTTCTTTGGGGGAGATGCTATGAGTGAAGGCGCCATAATCAAACCAATCTTCTCAATTGTTTTCCCCTCTGGCGTCAACTTCATGATACTTGTTCTGCTCTGCTTAGCATACAAAGTTTTAACCTCTTTGTACAGAGTTTCGTATTTTCTGGCCTCTTTTTTAGCTTCATCAATTTCCTCCTTTGCTCCTGACAACTTTATTGTGAGCTTTTTGATCTTACTTTCATTTTGAGCAATGTTGGCCGAACTTACTGCTCCATAAGCCGAATGCTTAAGCAGTTTTCCCTCTGCTGTTTGTAATTGTTTTCTTAGGGACTTAATATCCCTTTCTAAGGATACATTTGTTAGCTTCAGAGCAGACTCAGACTCCGATGATTCATCAATTTTCCTTTGCTGATCAAGACACTTCTCTCGCAGCCTGACTAACTCTGATTTCGAGGCATTATTCTGCAAAATATAAAAATAACAAATCCAAAATACAATTCCTAGGTTTTAAAGTTCTTTATTTTGCCACAAAACTGGGCTTTTTAGGTGTGATATTTTTTACTAGAAATGAAGCTTATCTTATATAATTAGAAAAAATCCAAATTCTAGAGTGATGTAAATATGAATGTTTTAGGTTAAAATGTCTTATATGTTGTTACTCTGAAACTTTTCCCAAAAACTGTCTTAGTAAAGACAATAGCAACGCAAAGCTTAAGCAATGCGGAGAGCTAAAAAACTCTGATTTTTCGCTAATATTCCCAGGGTATGTTTCTAGAGATTTGATTTGCAATGCTGTAACATTCCTTTTTACAACACTCCCAAAGATGGACAATTTCCGACTATAGACTCTATAAGGAAAAACTATATTAAATGACTTACTTTTATCTGTCAGAATATATTTCACAAAGGTAGAGAATAGAGTGACAATATACAAAGTTTACAAAGCTTTTATTCCAAAGAAATCACAAGGGGTTGCACTTGCGCACAAATATATAAAGGATAACATACTATAGATAATGAAATTCCTTGACATACATTATTTCATTGGATACATAAACGATTGTACATCAAATATTGGTCTGTTATTGGTCGATAAAAAAAGTTTCGTGATTCTATTGGATGTTTTAGAATAAACTAGTAAAGGATTGGTCTGGCGCGCAGCCTAGTTTACTAAGTTGAACTTTAGATAGAAAGTAGGTTACAAAGATATAGACATCTGGGTCTGGGAGTATGTTGAAATGCATGATAAAACCCAAACTGTATTTTTCGTTGCTATGCCAAGACAGTAATTTAAACATCTAGATGTAAAAGTTTGAAGGTGTTTAACAATTTTTAGAGAAACATACATTTTAGTTTATCTAAATGTGACAAAAAATGTCACAAAATATACTCAATAAAATCTTTTAAGACATAAGACGTAAGACATAACTTCATAAAACACTACAAATCTTAGCCTGCTTCTTTATCTGAAGCCAACAGGCTATTGACCGTGTACCTAACTTCTTCATCCATTTCTTCCAAAGACCTTGTCTGTCATGAAACTTTTCAGATTTGATTCCCAGTCCTCATTTGAACGCTGAAGATGAGAGGGGCTTGCCTGGTTTACAACCCCAGAATCATCCAGGTCATCCATAAAGTGTACCCTTTTCACTGATTGTGAAGTGGAGCCATAACCAAAACTGCCCAGCGTTTCGGCAAGAGAGTTTGAGTCCAGGATCTCCTGGATCTCTATGCTGTGGTGCTTCTTGTCCCCCTTGAAGCCTGCCACATCAAAAAACGTTTTTTAGGGACTGTTGGTCCTTTGCCCAGCTAACACAAACCGAGAACGGTAAATAGTTGTGTTTAACAAGATAGCACAGAACTTGATTTAATTTTGGCTCATCATTTTGTATCTCTGCGTTTACATCAACACAGCCATGATCTCAGCCATGCCAGTCTTTCAGGCTGGCTAACACTCGCTGTCTGTTTTTGGCTGCCTCCTGCTTGCTGGGATTTGGTAGCCCTGTGGGGGTCAGCTTGGCTGCACTGAGCATGTTAGCCCAGTGTGGGAAAGCCCCTGCAATATCATCTTTGATGAAGGAGCAAATAAATATCCCCTTATGTACCATTAGGCCACCTTTTCTAGTGGATGGCAGGTCTGAGCTTTTATACACTGTTGACGTGTAAATTTTGTCCAGGGTCGACATTTTTCTGTAAAAGAAGTTCGGTAAAATTCTCCCATTTCTGTCATACTGGATTTATCTCCTGATATTGCACACCAATAACTCCTTCAAATTATACATCCCTCTCCTTCACCTAGATTAGTAAATTTTATTACAAGCAAAGATAAACATTTAAAATACTAACATATACCACCTGTGATGTTATGGATAATATGAAGTATAATATATAATATGAAGGATAATATAATATTAGGGATAAAGTGAAGGGTATTTTATTATAACCCCAAATTTAATTATCTCAAAGCTGTAAGACATAAAGTACATTAAGAAAGAGCAGGATTTTTTAGCCCATCAAATATGTTGAAACTTTTAGTTTTTCATACACCCACGGATTTAATTATACTAAAACTGCAATAATTCAAGAGAAGTTAAATTACTTATATTTTAAACCCCCCCCCCCCCATCATACCCAGCAGCCCCTTCCTCTCAGCAACCTGCTGGGAACATAACAAAAATAATCACAGATGTGAGTTTATGTTATGCTCCAAACTGAAAATCTGAATTATTCAACCAAACTCAACGCCAATCATTATTCCATCCATTCAAAGTTCAAGATTTAGAAACATAACAGGGTTCACATTAAAGTATAAATATATTTTAATTCCGGCCTTTTAAAGATATTGAGTTACAAACATAACAGTTTTAACATCATTCAATAAAAATAATTTGTTAAAGAAAAGTAGCCTGTGTCCCAAGGGTTGGTGGAATACAGCAAAGAAAATTGCAACATACGACCTCGGAACCTAGAGATGCAACCTTTCTCTGTCTCCTGGTATGGTCGACTGGTGTGTGGCCGAGCTTACCCTAACATCTCTGTATTTAATTCCTGTGCACACCCCGTTTTAATTTTCTCCGCCTCGAGTCTATAGCCTTTTCCATTCGCAGAAGAGCTGTGAAAAGTATCCTGTATTCTGTTGATATCCTCCTGGTGTAGCTGGGGGTGGATATCCTCCTGAGGAACTAGGTGGATATCCAGGGTAGGATGGTTGTGCTGGACTAGGGTAGGGTGGATATCCTGAAGTAGGGGGGTAACCAGGACGGTATGGTTGAGGAGGATAAGGAGTTCCTTGGTTTCCTTGCGGATAAGGGAATCCTTGTCCTGGAGACTGTGGGTAAGGTAATCCTACTTCCTTTGGTCTGCTGTAGACTGGTGGCTGTTCACTTGTATCCTATGAAAGCTTTATCGTCCGTAGCCCCCAAAGGCGAACTGTTTGGTAGGTTCAGGAATGCTAAGAAGTAAGCAACCATACTGAGGATAAACCCTAGAAGTACTATAGGATCCCGACCTCGTTTTACCGTCAAGCTACCAAATATACCGAACAAGGCCCCGCCTAGAACCTCGCCGAGGGCGACAAATATCCCGCTCATCGCAGTCAAATCCTTGGCCTCCTTGCCAAACGCGTTGGTATACCCGATAGATGTTCCGTAAACTGAGGACCAAATATTCTGCTGAACTCCAGTATAGTAGAAGGTCACACTTAGTAGAAGCATATCCTTGGTTACGAACAGCTTGGCAGAGTCCTTCAGGGCCTCAAGCGGACCCTTAGCAGAGGTTGTAGATTCCGCCCAGGGAGTAGGACGGAGAAAAAACATTAAACATGTTCCAGCCACGGTTACACAGAGAAGAACAATTCCAACAGTATTTCTTGTCGCCTCGTCGATATATTCCGTCCCGCTTCTGCTGAACATGAAGAACACGAAGATGTTTCCAATGAAGCTGGAGGAGATGGACATTGCCCAGAATATTCCAGAGTTTCGGGCCATTGTTGAGTCATCCGAGTTCAAGGAGAGAAAATTACCCTGAGCTGTCCAGATTATCGCTGCTCCTACTCCAAGTAGAGCAGAAGAAACGTAGAGAAGAATATCATTTAAGATTAGGAGCTGAGCAATAAATAATCCATAGGCGACTGCTCCAACTATCATTGTCACTCTTGGTAAAAAAGCGTTTTCAGGATTCAACTTTCTCTTTGAAACCCAGTATTGCATATATTGTTCCATGAAAGATTTTTTGACTGCCATCTAACGGCCACTTTTTGCATATAATACACATTCAGGGGTTAAGTTTTACAACTTCTAAAGAAATACTCCAATTTTTTAATATGAATTATAAAATTTTTGAATTTAGTCTATTTTTGAAGATTCTGTATTTCATATTCAGAGGATCCTTAAATATCCCTGAATACAAAGATGTCTGCTGGTCGTGTACAGTGCTTGTACACAATAGCACATGCTGTGGAAAATCTCTGAGTGAAAACAACAATAGTATTTGTCCATCAGAGACAATTATTTGACAAAGATTTAATCGGAAAATTAGGAAATTATGCGTTTTTGTTTCACTGCCAAAAAAAAGATCGTTCATTTGGTTCTATTTTTAGTTCGGTCATGCAAATATCTTCTCTCAGCGCTAAAATTTTATATAGTGGAAGAAGATATTAGAATAAATAGTTTTGAAAGTAAAACTTCTCAAAATTTTGTGGAAACTTTATAATTCCAAAAACGAAAGGAACGAATGAACGAAGCGAAATAGTTTCATTTTATCCTAAAATTTTCATATCATTGAACTGATTTTATGTTATTTTTAGCTACCTGACTGTGTATATTCAGGGGGGCTGGATCTTAGCAAATATGCATTACGCTTTTTGAGTACAAATGATAGGAAGGTTTTGTATCTTGAATTTTACTCGGTTTTCTCAGAACCGTTGATTAAGGATGAAGCTCTGTAAAAGACTGTAATAGAACGTTTTCCTGTAAAAATGTAATCCTGCACACGAAAAAGGTCTTGTGGATTTTAATAGTTAAATGGAAATAAATTCTCCAAAATAAATATTTTCAGAAATCACCCTGGAGTACTGTAATATAAAGATTGATCTTTGGAAGTTAATTGCATGGCCTGAACAATTAGTAAAGATTAACGTGCATTATCACTCTATATACTTTAACCTCGTTTGTTGAAGTGTTTATAAAACCACGATTTGGAATTGCCGGATAAAATATTGATAATCAAATTTACTCCAATATTATCAGTACTATAGCTATGGTATTTTCGTGACAAAATAAAACGGACACTTTTCACTATTCAATAAAGTTCGATATTTTAAACTGGTTTGATGTGAATAGAAATTATGATTTCTCAGACCTGACCAGACACTGAAATCTACGAAACTTTGTGGATAATTTTTAATTTAGGTGTTTACGGATGATTAACTTATATTACGTTATAATTTTGTTTGTATTAAAGAGACTGTACATGAATACAATTTCAAGTGACCCTCATACGCAGGTAGCAATGGTCACCTTTGTCTGTTTAAGTATGAATTAGTTATCAATGTTTATAATTTTGAAAAATAATTATTTTCAATTGTTGGTTCTCAGCAAAGTTACTTGCGAATTTCTTCTTCTGGAAAACATACAAGAATAACCTAGAAAGACGACAATTTATCTTCCAAATAATTGATTAGATAATTGGTTTCAAAGGTATTGCTCTTAAGAAAGCATTACCATGTTTACAAGGCGGGTCACTTGAAATTACGTTTACAGTCCCTTTGATAATAATTTTTTAACCGTTGGTGAAACTGTCTTGTTACAGGGACGCTGCAGCACTTCCTACTATTCTTGCATCCAAGGAATATTAAATCAAGATTATACAAAAGTTTTAGATCAAAATATTAATGCTTAAGATTAATTCTAAGCCAAGGGACATTCAAATACAGGGTGTCCTACAAAAATGGGCTGTTCTGAGTTTATTTTTCTCACTTAAACTACACGCATTCATGCAAAATAATGTTTACTGCATTCGGTAAATATTATTTTTTTTTTAACAAATTGACCCAAGAAACTTTATGGTTTCAAGACGATTTAAATTTGACAGTTGCAAAACGACTGAAAGATCGTCTTTGATTTTTGGAATAATTTGCGACATTTATTCGTAAACCAAATTTTAGAAGTAGAATTCTAGCCTTAATATTCTCAAAACACCCCTAGTCCAACATAATGTGTGCCTTTTTTGTGCTTTTAATATTACCGGAGATATGAAGAGTTTCCTCAAGATTTCGAAAATGTTGGTTTTATTTAATAAAATGGAATAATATAAACTTACAACTTAAATAAGTGTTCGTGCACTGCAGTGGCTCCTTAACACTGTTGAATAGGAAGACGACATTTAAGCAATATTATCGGTTTTCAGTTTGAAAATTAAGTATTGAGTAAAATGGGACTGTCTACACTGCACCTTTTCTATTTAAAGTGATAACTTAAGTCGTCTTCCTATTCCACAGTATTATAGGTATCACCGTATCCTATAATCTTAATTTATATTGATATATAGTGTGCTGGATCAGTGTGTACTGCACTTCAGGTAAATGGAAATGAATATATTAATATCAATTTATACATCTTGAATGATAAACTGTGATAAGAATTTGTTCTTAAATTGTATGCATCGTGGCATCGATGAAAAAACTCCCCAGTTGGCTTTTTGGAGTATTTACATTTATATACATACATTGCTTGGATGTCTGGGTGTATGTTAGTATCCAATAAACGTCAAAACGGCTGAACCGATCGGGCTCAATTTTTTTGTGAGACCTCGTGTGACCCCAGGGAAGGTTTATAGATGATCAAAATTTTAAATATTTGCCTCCAACAAAATTCGATTTTTAAACCACGAACTTAACAAAGAGAAAATGTTAACAATTAAAATAGAAGATGGGCACGAAGCGACCTGAAAGCCTAGTATGTGTTGATTTTACTTAAAGAAATAGGGCTGTGGAAGCTCCAGCATATAGCATGTTAAACATCACATATGCAATAAATATAAGTAACAGTATACTATGTACAATGAATTTTCCGTATATTGGAGCGCATCGAGAGTAACGACAACCTTATTGTACAACCTTGACATACACACTGTAAATTGTACACTATATAATTACTCCTCTGAGAAAAACTAAATATTTTAGAGCTGTATGACGAATCCTACTTCTGCAGCATGTACAGGTTAGCGTCATATGTATGTACAATTCTTTTTATTGTGTTAATAACAAGGAGCGAAATTTATTGAAATATTATTCAGACGACTTTACTATTGTTTCAGATCTTTGAAGCAGATTAATGAAGTCATAACCACAAAATAGCCCTAGTCATTAAATTAAATGAAATAAAAACAAAGTTTTTCAAATCTCTGCTGAATTTAAAAGCACAAAAAGGCACATTATGTAAATGGCAGGTTTAGGGTTATTTTGGGATTATTTTTTGTATAATCATACTTTTTGAAATAGGTTATAAATAAATGACACAAACTATTTTAAAGATCATAGACTATCTTGTATTCGTCTCTCAATAGTTGATGAATTTCACTCCTTTTCTGAACATCACTGCATCACTGCAAATAATACTATAATTTTAAAGCTTCTTTAATTTGTACCTTCAGGAATATGAAAATTAGCTTTATGTTTTCCACCTAAAAATAAGTTTTTAAAATTCAAAAACTCTGAGAGTTAAGATTCTTTACACAATGCAAGTAAAGAGGAAATGCCAGTGATGAGTGGTAAGAACAGTTGTATCTAAATTGATCACACCACACGTTAAAAAAAATATTTTTTGACATCTTTGAACGTAAAAACAGTTTCATTTGCACGTTTTGAGCACATCCACCAGAGTTCAATGCACTCTAATTGAACGTTTCAAGTACACTTTTTGCATGACGTTATTAGAACAATGATACTTAATGCACGTTATTTATAAACAACCATTATTTCTTTCACTTTTTGCACGTTATTGTTACATCAACCATAGTTGAATGCATTCTTTTTTGAACGACCAGATATAGCACGCTAGAAAAAAAACAATGAAATTATGCTGCACGTTTAATACATTTGGTTGATATTGAAATTATGATCAGATTTTTTCATTTTACAATAATCCACGATTAAAGGGCCAGTAATAAATCCAAACAACGCAAAAATAAAAAAGGTCCAACATTTGTAACAATTTTTTGTATCTATTTTTATTCAATTGCACCAGACTTGAACACGGTTAAACAGTTTTCAAGTTATACAGATACATTAAACGCAGAAGAGAGACTTTATTTCTCGCCTTAAATATTAAATAAAAGTGTTTTCTGCTGAAGATAAAAACACGTGTAAAACTAAGTCAATTTTAAATCATATTTTTATAAAAAAAGTTTGCTCTTTCGAATAAAATTTATTAAATAGATATTATATTATTTCTACATTTATCTAGGATTACAAACCTTGATATATTATATTTGCATTTATCTAGGATTACAAACCTTGATATATTATATTTGCATTTATCTAGGATTACAAACCTTGATATATTATAATTGCATTTATCTAGGATTACAAACCTAGAAACATTATATCTACATTTATCTAGGATTACAAACCGAGATACATTATCTACATTTATCTAGGATTACAAACCTAGAAACACTATATCTACATTTATCTAGGATTACAAACCTAGATACATTATATCTAGGATTACAAACCTAGATACATATTATCTAAATTTATCTAGAATTACAAACCTAGAAACATTTTATCTACATTTATCTAGGATTACAAACTGAAATACCTTTTATCTACATTTATCTAGGATTACAAACGTAGAAACATTATATTTACATTTATCTAGGAATACTAACCCAGATACATTATATCTACATTTATCTAGGATTACTAACCCAGATACATTATCTACATTTATCTAGGATTACAAACCGAGATACATTATATCTAGGATTACAAACCTAGATACATTATATCTACATTTATCTAGGATTACAAACTGAGATACCTTTTATCTACATTTATCGAGGATTGCAAACGTAGAAACATTATATTTACATTTATCTAGGATTACAAAACTAGATACCTTCTATATATAAATATGGCTTGTCTGTCTGTTTGTTTGTATCTAATAAACGTCAAAACGGCTGAACCGATCGGGCCCAAATTTTTTGTTGGACATCTAGGGACCCCAGGGAAGGTTTATGAATGATCAAAATTTCAAATATTTGTCTCCATCAAAATTCGATTCTCATTAAATTTTTAAAAAT